TCGTGCTCTGATTGGCTAAGACTCTTCAGTTCCTTTTTGGGCCTCTGGAAACTCCGTTGAAATTCTCCGAAAGTTAACTCAACACTTGATGAATCCATTTTAATGTATGAATTAAATTGACTGGAGATTTTAAATTTTATTGAATATATTCAAATAGAATTTTGTATTCAAATTCAATGTTGACAATTTGAATATAATAAATATATATTTTCATCAAATAGATTGTTGAATTAAAACATATTGATGATGTGATCAATTGATTCACCATATTGATTCAATAACATATTTGTATAAATTCATCCAACTGAGTCACAAGACAAGCTCTCACATGGAATCCTACAGGACAAAGGAAAAGAAGAAGATCAAAGAACACATTACACTGGGAAATGGAGATAGACATAAAAAAAATGAACAAGAATTGGATGGAATTAGAAAAGGAGGCCCAGGTTAGAGAATGCTGGTCGGTGACCTATGCTCCATTAGGAGTAACAGGCGTAAGTAATTAATTAAATTGTATAAATTCAATAGGTTCAATTGTATTTGATTGAATTTAATTTGTTAAACAGTCTATGGATTGAATTCGTGAACCATGTCAATTAGATCAAATAAACTCTAGAATATTCAATATATATTCAAATAAATCTGTTTTGACAACAACAACACCAACAACAACAAAAAACCGCCTAAAAAATTGTTCACATTGTTTAACAATATTCATTAAACTATGAAATACTATTTAAAAATTTGATTAATTATTTATTTAAACGATGAGTGAAAAAGGAAGCACTGGACGGCCGTTTTGTCCTATTGTAGGACTCCCCAGCAGTGCGCGTATATGACCCCGCCTTGCGGGATTCAAACCTAAGAATTATCAGTCTCGCTCACGAGCGCTTAACCACTAGACCACTGAGCCAGCCAGCATTCAACGCTGTTAATCTCTAACTTCAACTAATCCACGAAATTTAGCAACTCACCAACCATTGTTACCAATGAGTTACTATCTCACAGCTGATACTGTAGTCTTATATTCAAATACCAAAGGTTGTCCCCATTTATGTAAACTTATTCACTAAAACATAATCTCAGTTCAGAATAAACACAATCTTAATTCAGAAATACTTTAACAATAAATTCAAACAATATACAAAACAAGTATTGAATAAACCAGACAAAAGGTTATCTTTACATTCAAGACAAGTAACTACTTATCATAACAAAGATGTTACAATGGTGTAGAATCAGTAGAAATGTATTATGTGCAAAGATTGAATCAATAAATGTGCTGATTACTCCCAACTATCATAATTAGTTAAATGTCTACACATAAATAGGGGTATATAAATAGATAAATATATGGACAATTCAATAGAATGAGAGATAGATAGATAGATTCTAATGGATTATATATGTATTCACTGAATAATATCCTCATTGTGATTTGTTCTATTCAAATTAACTTCAGGCTGTTGCTAATTTTTTACTTTTTAATAATTCGTGCTCACTAATGATAGGCTTAAGAGGTGTTTTCATGGAGTTCTAATGAGAAGCAGTGACCAGCGCTCGCGCGCGAAACTGATAGGACCTGGGTTCGAACCTCATGAAGAAGGGTCATGGATACCCACTGATGAGGAGTCCCACACTAGGACGACAAGACTATCTAGTACTTCCAGATTTCTAATAATGCTTTAACATTGACCAGTTCATAATTTCAATAGCAAGATTTATGAAACTATATAATCATTTCATCTGTTATAAACGTAAAATGTGATATAAACACATGACCATGATGTTTGGATGATTCTACGCCATTGAAAAGAAACTATCATTCATTAGTTTTGAATTTGTCAGCTACTGGCATTTCATTATTGGCATTCCATTGATTTCGTTATGATTTATATTCTTAAGATACAACATTGTAGGTATTAGCAAAAATGAAATGATTTTGTCATTGTACCTACATATGAACCAGTTGATAGGACGAAAAATGTGTAATATGAATTAAGGTAGTATGTAGTAGCCATTTCCAGTATGTAAAAGTGAATTTTGTTTATGATCAGAAATAGAATACTTATTTACTGACGCCTGTTTGACACGTTGGAGCATAGATCAACGACCAACAGTCTCCAACTCACACTCGCCTAGGATTTCCTTTCCAATTCTACCTAACTGTTGTTCACTCTTCTCGTGTCTCATCTCTGTCTGTTCTTTAATCTTCCTTTTCTCATTTGGCCTTGAGAATTCTATGAAAAGGATTGCCTTGTGATGCCGTTGGATGCTTTTTTCGATGTGTGTCCTATCCACTTCTGACACTTCTTCGTCCTGATTTCTTCCTTCACTGGAATCTGATTTGTTCTCACTAACAGTAGGTTATTACTGATGGTGTCTTGTCAACGGATCCGAACGTTTTGCGTAGACAACTGTTAATAAACACCTGTATCTTCTGGATGATGGCCTTTATAGTTCTCCAGGTTTCTGCCGCATACAGTAGAACGGTTTCGACATTTGTATTGAAAATCCTGACCTTGATGTTGGTTGACAGAGAGCTGTTTTGAGTTCTTGATACTCTTCAATTATAGATATCTTGCTCTTGCTTAGCCGATATGCAACATAGAATAGTTCTATTCTTTTATTGAATTGAGATTTACAAATAAACTATGGTGTAGGAAAATGTTAAAAAGCGTAATGACCAATTTCTATACACCCTTGAATGGATTATCGATTTTTTGACAATTGTACATTTTCAAGTTTGATTTGTATATTCAACGATTAATTAAGATATCAATTTCAAATCTTATATGCTTCATGTTTTCTTTAAGTTTGGTCTGTCCCTGGATTAAATCTGACATTATTTCTCTTATAAAATACACATATTAGTCGTTATGATATATCTGTTGTGTTGTTAACTATATTTTATGTAACACTCTATTGAGTCTACAAAAGATTGTTGACGTTTGACGTCACAATAAGATAATCGAAACAAAAGCAAAATAAATTGAAGAGTAATTATGATGTAGCTAATTAGTTTATATAGTTAAACAGATAGACTGAAAGGCTCTAGGTTGGAATCTCGCGGGGGGCGGAATTGTGGATGTGCACTGTTAAAATGTCCCATACTAGGACAAAACGATCATCCAGTGCTTTCAGGTTTTCCATGGTTGTCTAGCTTTAATTGACTCATGAATTGAACTATTGAAATAGATATCTGTTGGATTGTTTTAATAAAATTACAATATTGATATAGAAGTATACTATGACACCTAGATAATTCGAGACTTCAAAAGTCAAGAATATTCAAGAAGTAATTCGATCGATAATCAGGATAATCGATATTCTCGTATTACATTGATATGAACTATGCTCAGTATGATATACAATATGTGATTTTGTTATCTCTGGGTATTCTTTAAATTTATAAGATTTCATCTTACTTAATAATCATAATAGATGTACAATCAATATATAAATAAGTGTAGTTTCGAGGTATAATAAATCTTCACTTGTACAAATCTTGATGTTCTTACTTCATATCGTGAGGATTGCAATGATTCTTCTTTTTTTTCCGATATAAGTAATAAAAGATGCACATAGAACACTACTCTCTTATTATCTTGACTGAAAAACTACTGACGAATTATAAACTGTCTCTCTAATGTTTACAGGAATACAAAAACAAAAACAGGAACAACAAGGGAATACATTAAAGAGGATCAGTATAAAAAATGAAATCATTATAAGTTCACCTACAATATACACATAACACTGGTTGGATTTTATTTTGGATAAAACAACAACAACAACAGACTAGATAGAGCAAATACTCTCCCTTTCTCTTGAAATAGGATTAAAAAGTAGTTATGCTATTGAAAGAAAAAAAAGAAATGAGTACATAAATGTATAGTTGTCATGGTGGAAGGCGGAGGAGAAGATGAGGGGAGGGGAATTCATTGAGAATAAGTATTATGCATACCCATCCACATAACATAGAAAGTTTATATTAAATAGTTGTGTATTTTCTTTTTTTCTATGACAAGACCAACATTTGAACAAAACAGATGCCAAACAAACAAAAATGGATAAATAAGAAGGTGTATATACCTTTCGAAGGATTTCATATTCAACATAATACACACACACGCATACAGAAACCCCCATCCATAAAATAACTAATTTATCATGTGTAAATTGTGCGTTTTTTTCAAATGTCTCGTCAATATGTCAAAGGAAGGGAGAACGAGAGAGAGACCGAGAACGAGAGGGGAGACAGAGAGGGGCGGACGCAGAGAGAAACAATAAAACATATAAATCATATTTACACATATAAACAAATACAATAGGCCAAAAACAATCATTAACTAGACATTCGAACATAATCACATTTAGGTATATTTACAATGGATACATGTTTTGTATCAGAATGGGTTTTGTGGAGATTTTAGAAATTTCACAGATTGAAATCATGAGTCAGTTGAAGCTAGACCACCATTGAAAACCTGGAAGCACTGGACGACCGTTTCATCCTAGTATGGGACGCCTCAGCAGTGCGCATCCACGACCCCGCACCACCCAAGGCTCGAACCCAGGACCTACTGGCTTCGCGCGCGAGCACTTAACCATTAGACCACTGAGCCGGCATCTGGAATTCTAGTGAGAAGTCGTTACCAGTGGAGTTCAACCAGGTCTGTTGTGAGATAGGAACTCACTGAGGACAATGGTATACGGTAGCGCAACTTCGTGGATTGGTTGAAGTTAGACATTAACACCGATGGATGCCGGCTCAGTGGTCTAATGGTTGAGTGCTGGCGCGCGAAGCCAATAGGTCCTGGGTTCGAGCCTTGGGTGGTGCGGGGTCGTGGATGCGCACTGCTGAGGACATGCTTTGTAGTTGAAGGAAAATTCTTAAAAGAGATAATGTTATTATTACTATTACTTAAATAATTTCTATCATTCATATCATCATGTTGTAATCCATCATTATTTCTATTTAAATGATCTAAATTCGATTATAACTTTTGATCAGTTTGATTTGGTAATGATAATGAGATAAGAATATGTTGATCCGGATACAAATGATGATCAGGATCCTGATTATGTTTTGGTATACAAACAGCCACTGTAGCAACAGTCTGCATCAACAGGCCTCAACATACACAAAGAAAAAACCAAGATCCTCAAATACAACACGGAGAACACCAATCCAATCACAATTGATGAGGAAACTCTGAAATATGTAGAATCCTTCACATATCTGGGAAGCATCATCGATGAACAACGAGGCTCAGATGCAGACGTAAAGGCAAGGATTGGCAAAGCAAGGCCCGCATTCCTACAATTGAAGAACGTATGCAACTCGAAACAACTTACAACCAATATCAAAGACACCTCTACTATACGGAGCTGAAACTTCGAGAACTACTACAACCATCATCAAGAAAGTTCAAGTATATACAAATAGCTGTCTTCTCAAGATACTCAACATCCATTGACCGGATATCACCAGCAACAGCCTTCTGTGGGAGAGAACATACCAGCTTCCAGCTGAAGAAAAAATTAGGAAAAGACGATGAAAATAAATAGGACATACGTTACGCAAATCATCAAACTGCATCACGAGACAAGTGCTAACATGGAATTCTGAAGGGAAGTGTAAAAGAGCAAGGCCAAAGAACACATTACATCGGGTAATAGAAGCAGATATGAAAAGGATGAATAACAAATATAAGGAGCTGGAAAGGATTGCCCAGGACAGGGTTGGATGACGAATGCTGTTGAGCCGCCTATGCTCCGTCACAAAGAGTAATAAGCGTAAAATATTTAAACCAAAAATAATTTTTTAAAAATGGTCAAATTATATTCTTCTATAATAATTAACCTAATTAATGAATCTTATTGATTGAAAAATCAAATAAATAATGACAGAAAGTTGATATATATATATATATATAACTCACCGTCCAGTTCGTCCCGGTTTTCCATGGTGATCTAGTTACAATTGACTCATGATCTCAATTAATGAAATAACTACAACCTCCTCAAAAACCCTTTTTGATATATATATATGTATCCAATATGTAACAAACTATTGTTCAAAATAATTAGAGACTTACTTTATCCTTTCGTTTTCTTGCCCATTCAAATGTTTGTTGAAGGCAATTTAATTGACCCAATGGATCTGGATCATTAGTACCAGCTAATATATTACCTTGATACCAGATTAGACCATTTAAACTGATTAGAACTAAATTAGGTTGATGAGTAATTTCAGAGTTATGATTGTTTTTATCAGTATTAGAATGATTGTTGGAAGTAGTATTATATACAAGATAATGTGAGAAGAAACAAGCTAGAAAATAAGAGAGAGAAAAGAATGTAAAAAAAAGTCGTCAAATAATATATCTGCATTAATGATAATGATACTGGAAAAGGCTCAAAAAATGGAATCGTGAAGTAATCTTAGTTAGTCAGGTAGAAGTTAAAAACGAGAAAGTACTATGCAGTTGTTTCATCGCAGTAGGTAACTATTCAGAAGTGAGCAAATTAATTACTTACTTACTTACGCCTGTTACTCCTAATGGAAAAAAGACAACCTCACCAGGAATTAAATGTATGTTTTGTACTACAACAATTGTTGAACGTTTAGATCAGTTCAATGAATTCACAATGTGGAATGTTCATCCTTTGGAATTGGTGATAGATCTATTCTCTCATATTGGATGATTGTCAACTTTCTATTTTTCATGTCTATTCATCATTAGAATTTCAAGAATTACCTCTTGAAGTTTGTCTCTCTAGTTAACACATTTAATGTGTCTTACGTTTGAATGTTGTCACTAGTTTGTTGAATTTCATAGTTTATATCATCGTAAGATTTGGAATAAAATCAAAGAAATTTGAAGTTGAAGAAAAATAGGAAATTCTGTCTTGTATATATTACATGAACAAACATGAAGTTATTATATTAAACATTGAATTACATAAGATACATAAGATAATGATAAACTAATCAAAGTGTTAACAAACAAGCAAACAAACAAAATCATGATTTGATTAAGAAAAGAAACGAAAAGAGACGAATTCATGTATCTGGGGTGGGAAAGAAAAGAAAAGAAAACTAGTTTAAAGACTATCTCTTCTCGACAAACAATGAACCCGTGTCAAATGTTATAACTTGTGGCCTGTGCACTCTGTTGATGGATAACATAATGATACCACCAATTAGAGAACAATGATTTATTAATGACGCGTAAAATCGTACGAGCAGTTTAGAGTCTTAATTGGTCCCAGTCCGCACATTGAGTTCAGAACACCAGTCTCAGCCTTCCCGATATCAATCATGTATTTCAAACATACTAGGTTTATATACAAACCAAACAGACCACATCGTACCATAAAGTAGAAAATATACATTTATACAAGATAGTAGTCAAAAGTGGTTGTGAATGTATGAGATAGTAATGGATAGATCGGACATAACTCAAGAATGGTGAATGGTATCATAATAGTCTATAAGTCAAAATAAAGCATATGATAGGAGGAACATGGATATGCATAGTTTATCCACTTAGTAACCATACAATAAATATATTATGCATAGTATTAGTCCAGAAATATATCTCAATACTTACTATTCAAGATCTAACAAAAGAATGATTAAATCTTCAAGAATGTTATATCATTATAATTAATTGTTTAGTTATCTATATGTCATATGATAAGTAAATCATCATTATCATGAATAGTATTATCTCTTTCTTTCTTTTTTCAATATAGAAACAAAAAGGGAGAATCCTTTTTTTATTGATTCTGAGTTTTATATTTGGCACCATTCCATCAATCAATCAATCAACCAACTTGATAATCAACATGGCAACAAGAAAAGTATATCAGTCTATATTACAGTTACATAGAATAATAATAATAATAATAATTGATAAGTCTTGCAGATTGAATGCTATATTCGTCTCCTAAGCTATTCTGTAACCCCGAAGCTAGAACTATATAGCGACCTGAACACGAGAGAGAAGACTCAAGGTATGCGAGAAGTAGTTTACTCCAAAGTTCATTCTAATTCAGAAAATACAGGGTTTTTATAATATTTTAAATGTCCTTGGGTTGCTAGAAGATTCTAAAATGCTACTAAACATAGTAGCAGTGCAGCAGCCAACCAATCAGAGACTCTACATGTGACGTTTTGCTTCCTTGGTATTTTTGGCCAAGACTCCAAGTGAACGCTGATTGGATGAAACGCTTCTTAGTGTTTCCATATGCTTGCTTGTCTTTTGGAAGCAATTTTCTGGATCACCCCAACAATAATGGTAATAGTAATAATAATCTATGACATAATCTCAGATTGTGATAATGATTAAAACTAAGTACAATTACTAGGTAGATAGGTAGGTGGTTAAGTTAGAAAACAAACACCTACCTACATTTAATACCATTTAAAACGTATCATTCACCTTAAATCTACATTGAAGATGATGATGTAATTGATTAGATGAGTGAAAACCAAGCAAAAAATGGCTTCGATTGTTTGTCACAGCTTCGTTTTTGATCTGTTCCCATCAGATTTGTACTGGATAAATGAGTAGTTAACTTTTTTAGAAAAAAAGTGTCATTTCATTTTGTTACTAGTTAATATCAAACGATTAGTTAGTTCAGGGAATTGTAGTTCAAGTCTAAGTACTTACATCAATGAAGAGAAGATTGTTAAAATACAAGTGAACTGTTATTCAGGATTGTCCTTAATTTGGAATCCCTGTCAACCTTTTTAAAAACAAGTTGCGAGTGGAGCGGTACGATGTTTTCGTAGAATAAATTAGTTTCTACACTATCGTCTTCTAGCTGTAAGTTAATACTTTGTGAATGAGTGTTGATAGTATGTTTCATCCCACTCTATGATAATTGTGAATTATAACTTGTTATAATGGTCAATTAGAGGGGCGAAGTGTAACCAATAGTTTGTCCTCATCTTAAACTCTTACTGATAGAATCAAATTCTGTATGCCCAGTTACGTGAAATGTATTGAGTGCATCGCTTAGCTGATGAATTTCGGAATGTATTTATCTAAATTAGTCAAAACTCTTCCATTGGGTTTTTTTAATTTCATATTAAACGACTTAATTCATCCAACTGAAGCCTAAAGTTATAACGACAGACTATAAAACACAAGATTTACAATGACTTTCTACAATGGTACATTGGTTAATCATGTATTACTATTAATAGTATCAACACTCGATACGGTCGATAACGTGTACGTAGGAGGAATTCAGTGGGTCGAATAACTAAGATGGATTGAATTAATTTTTGAGGACTGGATGAAAGATGCTTCATAATCTGATAACTTAAAACTAAAACATCGATTGATCACTGGGTATTGAATAATGCTACGTTGTTCTAAAACTCAATATTGTTAGGTAGAATTCCATCTATCATGTTTTCGCCTAGTTAATTTTGCTCCAAATGACTCAGTGGTGACATCTTAGACCTTGAAATGAGGTGACGCTTCTTCAAATTAAACATAGAAAATCAAATGCTTCAATATTGTAAGTATTTTTTGAAGATGATAATGAGCACAAAACTCAAGTTGAGCAGTGTTTTATGCTAACTACCTTCAACTTCCTCACAATATACAACGGTTATGTTTGGAGTAATATGACAACGTCTGCTCATTCTTCTTCTTAACAAACTAATTTTACATTGGAATTACGTCATGGTTTATGACTATCACTTGTTCAATATCTTTTCTATTGTCGAATTTAGAGTAGTAGCATTTCAAGTTAATACTGATAATGATGATGCCTGTAGTTGAAAGGAATTTAGATAAGCAGAATATGAATAGCCAACTGTTCAACGGTGTGCTTATTGTATACTTTTAGTGATCTAAACACAGATCAATTGTATATGATCGACAAAAATTTAACCGGCATTGACTGAACATTCATGAAAGAGAAGATTGAACTTTTGACAATAAAACTTTCAATGTCTCTTCAAAATGTGAAAATGATACTTCTGAATAAATTGAGAATTAAATTCATCATTTTTTTGGTAGATATTTCAATAAGTAGAGAACTTCGATTTTCTGATGTTTCGTAACTCAGTATAAGTGACTTCTTCAAAGCAAATAAACAACCAAATCATAATTCATACTAGTTTAAAGAGTAAACATTGAACAATACAAGAATATATTATTATCTTTATGTTGTTTTTTTTTAAAATTTCTTCTCTGAAGAAGAACTGGCTTACTTTGAATTACGAAACATCAGTTAATCTATAATTTTTCCTACACACCGTAATATTTACAAATATATAGATATAGATTTATTGATTTATATTTTTTATTTATTAATTGTTTATTTAATTTAATTTGATCAATATCATATTGATCAGGATCATGATTAGAATTAATAATTTGATCATTAAATTTTAAATTATCATTATTGATTAATTGGATACATCATTCATATATTTTTTTATGATAAAATTTTTTTATTCAGATTAAATTAGAATTTATTGATTTCCAATTATTTGATTGAATGAACTTATTTTTTTAATATTTTTATCATTAATTAATAATGAATTATGATTATTGAATATTGAATATTGAATATTGAATCAATAAAATTTGAATTACAACGATACATTTGTATTCATAACCAGTATGTTAACTTAGTTACGATGAGGCACATTCAAGAAAAACCCACCTTCTTATAATCTTAGGTGGATTATTTTCTACTCTGGTTTTAGTTTACCTGGTCTTTTAAAAAAAAAACTAACAACATGGAGGAATGAGACTGATATTTCAACTACCTATTTTATGAAGTTGATCAATTCATGATATTTTATTATTATGTTATCATAATAAATTATTTGAAATTATAAAAATTTTGCAGTTCATCTCAATTGACTATCTAAATTCATTGATGATTTATCAAGAAAACTAAGGACATATAATGAGAGACCAATGGTCCTGTGTTCGAGTCATGAGCGCGGAATTGTGGGTGCATACTGCTGAGGAATACCATCTAGTACTTTCAGGTTTTCAATGGTGATCTAGCTTAGATTGATTCGTGATTTCAACTGAGAACATACAGTGAATTGTTTAATGCAGATTTAGTTAGACATAGAATCCAAGCTTTTCAATTCTGATTATCAGGATTGAAGTGTAAGACACTTAGAAAAATAAAGTCGATTAAAAGTTAAAATGGATGAACATCAAAATGTTTCGTAACACAATCAACCTTTATCACAGCACACCGTTATGTATTTACCTAACTTATGACTAGTTTCATTTCTCTAAGTATTTTATACTACATTTGTAATTTCTCGTCGTGAAATACTATAGACCGTAAGTGACATTTGATGAAATAGACCGACTATATGTTATTCTAATATCTACGAATTAGTTTGTCGTGTAAAATAATGTGGAAAAATGTTGAGTAAACTATATTTCTACTCAACAAAACATATAACATTAGAGTAAGTATGTTGCTATAATTTCGCTAAGCATCATTATATTATATAAACGATTATCTGAGATTTTCTTTATAGTTTCAGTCAAATTTTTGCTACCATGATCTGATCTAATATAGATAATCATTGGAAACTAGGGGGGGGCACTAGATATGTATTCCACCCTGAAATTAGACTTAATTTCAGCGAACACCAGATACGTTATGTCATTTACCTACGTCTTGTGATGTAATATCATTTAGAAAGAGTAGTAGAATTATTCATTTCAGACTCCATCTCCCACAAGACAATGAATTAGATTCTTTCCTTAAAATGAATCTTCTGAAATGACGGAAATTCGTTAATCAAATTGACAGTGTTAAAGTTTTGTATCCTACTCTTAATATTTCGGCACAAATATGGTGTTCAATACTGTTTCGTTCATAATGACATTATCACTTATTCATATTCTATGAACAGTAAACCAATTTCAGTTTGATAACATCTGACTGGTAGTAAAACATGATAATGAAATACATTATAATCTTCCTTGTAATTTTTTGCATAATCTAAAATTTTCTTTTTCCATTAATTAATTTGTGTTGTTCAGTACAAAGTTCAGATCGACTTATCAACTTAACACATAGCACGCTACCGAACGTTTATCAATCCTTTTGACTTATTGCATCAAACTGTAAAGTTTTGGGTAATTCGGCACCAGCATTTAATCCTTTAACGTACACTAATCTTGAATTCAGCTCGCTACAACGTAAAATATACATCCGAGTCTAAATTCAAAAACGTACCAATCTTTGTGAACTATATTTAATTACCTATATCGTCAAGTAGTATATATCGTTCATTTATGATGCTTTTGTCAAAAATAGTATATCTTATTGAATATTTGTATAATAACCAAAACACTATTGGATGATGAGAAAATTTGAAGAAAACTTTTGGTACAAGATGGACAATTAGTAAGAGTGTATATTTTCCTGTTGCCAATATATGGGACTCTAACTGATCGATCTGTTTTGTCATACTTTCATCTAATCAAATATTTTCACAACTTTTAATAACATTCTATGAAAAATTTCGCAGTGCTGAAAACTAAGGAGAACGGTCGTCTCGTTTCAGTTTAAAATTCCTTAACAGTGACCAAGTAAAATTCCTACAAGCATAGAACACAGAATTTTCATTTCTTACGGCCGGCGCAATATTCTCCGATTACCAACTTTGAATCCAACGGTCCACAGTTTTAACTTCCACGTATCAAGATAAGAATCTCTATTATTTCCCTCTCATAGGAGGCTAATGTTCTTGAGTCTGATCACTATCACATTCTTGAAGAATTCTCAAATAGACCGAAACAGTTATCCAATTCTCCGTCATTTTCACTGGTTTTCTAGATTATGTTAATTTGTAATGTAAAACAAATTCGAACCAGACAGTTTATGCAAAACACTTTAATTATCAGAAGGGGTTTGTGGAGATTGTAGAAACTTTCACAGATTGAAATCATGAGTCAGTTGAAGCTAAACCACCATTGAAAACCTGGAAGCACTGGACGGCCGTTTCGTCATAGTGTGGGACTCCTCAGCGGTGCTCACCCACGATCCCGCACCACGCGGGATTCGAACCCAGAACTTACTGGCTTTGCGCGAGAGCACTTAACCAATAGACCACTGAGCCGACATCCAACGGTGTTAATGTCTAATTTCAACCAATCCACGAAGTTGCGCCACCATATACCATTGTCTTCATTGAGCTGAGGAGTCCCACACTAGGACGAAACGGCCGTCCAGTGCTTCCAAGTTTTTAATGGTGGTCTAGCTTCAACTGACTCATGAATTCAACAAGATTAAATCATTGTACTTTACCACCATATAAATATAGAATAGTCTATTTATCCGTATGTGGATTATCATTAGGTCAATATAACTGGATCAGTGAAACTAGCTAGTTAGTTATAAAAAGCTACAACATAATTTTTTTTTTACTGTGATTATAAATACAACTCAGTTAAGATATTCTAAGTATGTTTATTTTAGTTACTTAGATTACTGTTATTTTCAACAGATTATTCCAATTGTGATACAACATATGACTGATTACAAAAAAAATACCGAATTACTAATCCCTTACACTTTTAATACTGAAATTAAAATCATTCCATGATGTTAACCATGCAATTCAAATATCGAATCTCTATAAAACCATCGAGTAAAAAGTGAGATATATTTCGTTTTTATGGAGAAAAAAAACCCACATAATTTCATATAGCAGCCTGAAAATAATTGAGTATTTATATGATCATCGAATGTACTATTAACTCTTATAAATTTTGTTAGTTGAACTCACGAGTTGATCTAAGGTAGACCAACGGTGAAAATCCAAAAAAAACTGAACGGACGTTTTGTTCTAGTATGGTACTCCTTAGCATCCATGATCCCATGCGTGGGACTCGAACCCAGGACTTTTTGTCTAGTGAGCGAACGCTAAAGCTCTATGGTGATCGACTCGTGAATTCAACTGTGAAAGTACTAGTCTCTACAAACCTTGATACTGATATTTCATTAATAGTTTTAACTGGACTAAATCAAGATAATAATTAACATTTTTGCTACACTTATCAAGGCAAACGTTCCATTGATGACGATGACTGAATTAGAATCGAATTATTTACTCGTAAATCAGTTCAGATTGTAAAGAAAACAACTGATAGTAAAGTCAATTTGATACGTTATAAAGATATGATACCTAAAATTGACGAATCAATACAACTGTTATTAAGATATTCTTTGCAAATTTAACTTTATGTGACACGAATGACTGAATTATCCTATAAAATGGAACTGTTTATTTAATTCATAGTTATATTAAATAATTATACGATGTGAAATATAAGTATACAATCATTTAAAAATTAGAAGATTAAACAGAATTACTGATTAACTTGCATCATAGACCAGGAGGGTGTTTCTCTAATGTTCAACCAAGGTACATGACTGGAAAGATAATTTACTAATGACAGAACATCAGAAAAATTCCGACGAAACAAACATCTAATACATTCAAGTATCTATTAATAACTCAAATAAAGTCTATTTGTAGTGAATACCACCTTAGAATTTCCACAATTTTTTTTTTATATTAAAAGTTCACCAACATTCAATTTACTTTAAGATTGAAAGGTCTATTTAGTAAAAACGGGTGGAAATAATCATTATTTCTTTCAATGTTCAATAATAGTGTAATATTTAACATTTTCGAGTATTTTTCTGTTCACATAGTGTCAATGCTGCATATCAGAGAGTGTAATTTTCATTGGGGACTTCAATTCAATCATCTACAGATAGCTGCATTTGTTTTGTGGGAATACAAGATATCACACTCTCATTGAATAGTGAGCAAGGTAGAGTTTTCCTTGTACTCAAATTATCAATAAACTTAAACAAAGGAGTTTTGATGTTTATTTTGTTATTTATGTTGTTCTCCTTCTCTTATTAGTAATAGGATATAGTTCTAGTAGACTTGCATTAAAGATTACTTACATTCTCAAAAATACTTGTTATGAAACCGTTGGAATATATTTTGATGTTCTTGAGATACCTAGTTGATAGAGGTCATTTGGTGGATAGAACCAAATCTTTTCAAATGACCCTTGTCATTTCCTAATGGTATTCAATTCCATGTCCAACATATATCACAAGCTATATGGATCTTAACCATTTACTTGAATATTAAAAAATAGTTGAATTTTGTTGTTAAGTTTTCTGTTGTCTAAGTATTCCTTAATAAGTTACTTTGATGCATGTTATAATACAAGAAAATTTTGTTTTCTCCTTTTATCATTGTAAAGATTATCGTTTAATCTTTATTAAGTAGTTTGAACGATTAGTCATAATTTCTCAATCTTTTCATAATTAAACAATGGAAACTTGTTAAATTTAGTAATAAATCATTTAAATTAAGCATAAATCATCTACTGATTAATAAAAATATCTCAATATATAAATCATTATTTCTCCTCATGGATTCACTCACTTTGTAGTTGAGTAGCTATCTAACTGATTTTTTTTCTTATTCTCTTGTTAGTTTGTTTATCTATTCAATTATATTTTATGTCTAAATAACTTGTTATCAGCTAGTTACAACGTCTTAAATGTTTACATACATGCGTATAAATAACAGTATACTGGGATAAAATGAAACGAGAAGAAAACTAGTTATGCTGGTATTAGGATACCTTTAGGATTTTTCTTTATCTTGACAAGAAGAAAAGAAAAGAGAAAACAACATTCTCTGTTCATAATGATAATGACGATGGTGATGATTGTATGATCATTGTATTGTTGTTACTCATTATTCCAAACGCTCACGCAAATATAGATTTATTCACAATATTCATTCATATATAATTGTTAATTAATAATTTGTATTTATGATTGTTTCACCAATGACTTATTTCAACATGTTCCTGAAATTCTAATAAGAAATTTTGACTGGAACAGTACAGATATGTTGAGAGTGAATTAATTATAACCAGTGGTACTGGATATTTTTGAGGCTACATCAAAAATTCTTTGAAATTGTGGTTTGACCCCGACCCAGTGATTCTATTTGTTAAATGTTCCTCAGAAAATTTCCAAGTTATGAGTTCGCTCCCTGATATTATGGTGGTATATGCCCTGCCAAGTCTCACGCCAGAACTAGATAGCTGTTCATTCTTCTCTGCTTTACAAAGTTATTCCATCTCAGAACAATCTGACAAATACAAGCTACAAACTCAACAAATCTTCACAAGATTCTTTCAATTAAACTATTGATTGATACAATTTATTACATCTCATTTTCTACTTACTTTTTCCTAAATTGCAAGTCTTTTAACTGAATGTTTATTGTAATAACAAAACCATTGTATATATATATTGAATGTCTACATGTTTTAAAAATAAATGTATCTGAGATATATTCCGTAATTAATCAGAGATTGAAATCTCAGTTAGTTTGTATAACAAAAATTCAATACAAAGTACTATCCTCTCTTGTGAAAATTATCACTTCATCAATGATAGATAATATAATAGCTAATACTCACTTTGTATCAGAACTGATCAATAATATCTCTTTTAATTAGGTTACTTTTAGTGGTTAAGAATTATTCAAATCACATAATTTTCTTTCATACTATTAAAGTATAGTTAATTAGCAACTAACTTGTAAAATAGAATCAAGATAATATTGATCATAAACTTTACAATAAACATTTATAAAACTGGGCATTATATCATGTTATAAATATTAATAATGGAATAACGACACTGATAACACCACAATATTCGTTTTATGACACATTTTCATATCTAATAACAATTGAAACACAACTATGTTTATATGCAAATGTGAAAAACGGTTACAATTAATTACTAGACAATGAGACGTAAGATTTACAACATAAAAATTGTTCTATTTGTTGTCAATGTCATGAATTTCTAATCGATTTACATTAAAATAATAGTTTTGATGCTAATCATTTTAACAATTAATTGCTTACAATAATCAATTCGTATTAATCAATTAACTCCTTATTTATAATAAACCCAAATATTCTAACTGAGATCATGAATCGATGTGTTAGACTACCATTTAAAACCTGAAACCACTAGACAGCTATTTCGTCCTAGTATGGGACTACTCGAACTAAGGTCTTTTGATGTCGTGTGTGAACTTTTACTGTTTAGACAACTGAATCAGGACTTAACAGTATTAATGTTCCATACTAAGATGAACCAATCATCCAGTGCTTTCAGGTTTTCGATGGTAGCCTAACATGGATCGGTTTATTATCTCAACGATCTTTATAACCCTTTTTCTGATAAGAAAATATTTACAAATTTTATTTATATTCAGATATATAACAGAGAGTAATAGACAATGATTAAATGTGTGTAAACAAACAATGGAAAATAGTAGTTCATAATACTACTAATAATACTACACATTAAATTACAAAAATCTTTATTGATTCTTTTTTAAAAAAAATCATTGTAATATTAGTTTATTTTTACAACACTAAGTATTGTCTTCTTTATTCTACGTCACATTTAACCGTTAACGTGGAGGGGTTCGTTGCCGGTAAACAAAATTAAATGAAGGTTTGGGGGGTGGGGTGGGGATTACAATCATTCGAAATTGTTGTATAAAACATAGAAAAGAAAATAAACAAAATAGAAATAAAAGAAATTCACTGAAATTATGAATAGAAAGAAAGAAAGAAAGAAAGAACGAAAGTAACAATTTGTTAACACAATTGATCTGTATACACTTTTGCCATGAGAATATAATACAATAATTACACAATATTAAAGTGATTGATATCAAACATAAAATTGATGATATGCACAATACAATTGAAAATATGTATGAATATGATGAATCAATGTTGTGCTTCTCTTTTTTCTTTTTTTTTATTTGCCGTTAAGATTGTTGTTATTATTACAGTTCTATCATTTGATTTAGATGATTTTCCATTTGAATGACTATAAATTGTTGATACAGGAGAACGAATCATATTTACATTTTGATTACGTAAAACAGTATGTGTAGGTAGGTGTACGACGTATTCGGAAATCAAGTGTTCGACCGTGTAAAGTCTAGAAAAAAAGAAAAAGAAGAAAATTGAAAACATAAATAATACAAGTGTTGATCTGAAAAATTTAAAGATTTTATTAAATCATTATCATTCATAATATAACTTTTAAATTCATTTTAATCATGTCATACAATAACTAATGCATAACTTAGAATGATACTTTGTTGGGTCAATCAATTCTAAATTATTATCATTCAGTGAAATTCTTAAGATATCGGAAAGAGATCGAACTTGTGGTAGTTTGGCGAATGCTACTTATGCTGAAAATTATGAGTAGTATGTACCACCAATCGATGGAAATAACGCGTGTTGTACTACGCCAAGCGAACGTAGATATTTAATACATTGATCTAGATCTATAAACATCTATGGAATGATGACCCATCTTGTCTACATAGATAATGCGACTTTTTTCTTGAATTATGTACATTCACATGTATCTATCCATATTGTATTAGATATAAAATCAAGTCCATCATGTATATAGTGAATAACTAATGTAATACATAAATTAAATTAACATTTTCACTTTGACTTACATTTTTAACTAATGGAGTGACACAATCCTTTGAGTTACCACAAACTGGGGAATGAGCACGTGGTCTTTTAGCTAAGAATGCGGCTGTTAAATTAACCTAAAAACACGAAAACAATCATTTTATGGAGATTTACACATATCCAGAAAAAGTAAATATTATAGGTGAATGCTTCTTATTTGTAATAAAAACTTCCACAAAGCTAATGTCTTATATTTTTATTTTATTCATATTTATCTCTCTTCTCTTAGTGTTTTTTTTTTTAAAATAAAACTTAAGGTGTCATCGAATGGTACAAATTGTTCAGAATGCATTCGATTATCTATACATCATATATACCAGTGGACTTCAGTCTGTGTCAGGTGTGGAATTGCTATGCACTGCGAGTAATAAATGAAGGGTTGCAAGAGTCCATAGAATGATTGAACTCAAACACTAACACCGATGAATACATACTAAATGGTCTGGAGTTTAAAGGTTTACATACGAGACCGGAGATCCTGGGTTCGACCTCCACGCTTGGTCTTGTGAATATGAATACTTGGATAAAACGGCCATCTAGTAGTTGTAGATTTTCAATTATGTTCTAGCTAAGCTACAGTCGCCATTAATCCTCCATACTGATACACTATATATAAATATGTCAGGGTATAATATGAAAATCTGTATTGATAAGAAAATCCCATTGAATATTACAGCATAGCTAATATTGATTTCTTACTCTGTACGGAGAACAATCAAATATCTCACATTGATCTTAATCGTTGTTGAGACAATGTTAATCGCATTGACTTTTAATGTTACGTAATCGTTTGAGGAAATGTTAACAAACTACTCAACTTTAAAAATAAAATAACAACACAATCTACTCACTATGGGATTATTTGATTTTGTACTCATGGTAGATGTATCCGATTTTCTCAATGATTCATTCGATTTCTTGCCTTGTGAACGTGGACTTGGTGTCATAATAACACAATATTTAAGATTACAACACAATGCAGGACTGTCTGATGTCTAATTTAAAAAGAAACAATGAAAGTTAAGATCGATTATGCAATAAAATAGACACAATTAAGTTAATTTATATTAACTAATAAATAAAAGTATAATTCATAATCATTGAAACAATTCCCAATCTCTAACTTGGTAACTAAATTTAAAGAAATATCTTGTTGATATTGTTGTATTGACATTCAATTATTTATATACCAAAAAGTAAAATATACACGGATTAATGAACAAAAATTAATTGGGGTATATAATTAGTATAAAACCAAATGTTAACTTTATAAACTTGTTAGGTATCATGAAATAGTCTATACATACACACGTGTATAACAAGAAAGAAAACCTTAATACGAATATATATATATAGTCATATCTGAGACAAAGATCATCTAATACTTTTCACAAGGATTAATAAATAAAGATAACACAGTAAAATTTATTGATACTGTAAGAATAATGTTTAATATTTAACAAATAGATGGAAGATAACTGGTTGGATAAATTTTCAATGACAAATTTACTATTGAAGGATAATTCTGTCACAGTTTCGTTATGGTAATTTAATTTATTCGAATAATTAAGCATATTATATATAAATAGGAAAATAAGCTGAGAGACAAACAAATACGAGTTCATACACACATGCACACATATAGACAGACATATACATATACATACATAAGGATTCAAATAAAACTAATATTATCCTAGTATGGGACTCCTCAGCAGTGCGCACCCACGGGATTCGAACCCAGGACCTACTGGCTTCGCGCCTGAGCACTTAACGATTAGACCACTGAGCCGGCATCCAATGGTGTTAGTGTCTAACATCAACCAGGTTTCCAACGGTGGTCTAACATCAATTGATTCATGATCTCAACCAAAAACTTAACAATCTCCACAACCCCCATACTGATGACTAATATTATCATTTGTTAGTCATTTATATGAAAACTTTCACTTCAGTGACTATTAGACATAGATCAAAAGTATATTTAATATATTTGGGTATTTGGCTAAATAAGTACATAACATTATGTGAAGTACAAATTGTAAAAGAATTGTGAAATAAATTAATACTATATTTAGTAGGAAGAAATCTAGTCTGAACTAAATCGATATATAGCTTATGATGACCTTTTATAAGTATATTTGTATAATGTTAATGGTATTGATAGGAAATGACTAACCGACAGTGTTAAATTATTGTTGATGGTAGTATTTCACGAATAAAATGATTAAATGACCTTAGAGTCAGTAACAAGTTATATAACTCATAAACTCAAATGAATTTTTGATTATTTGAATTGTAGCATTGAGACTTAAGACCTTGTGAACAGATTTTAAGACTAAATACAGCCATTAAATTTCTATACAAATAATGTAGTAGCCCATATTGACAAGTTCAACAATATTTATTATCAGTATGGGGATTTGAGGAGATTGTAGTATTTTAACAGTTAAATTCACAAGTCAATCTAATCTAGACCACCATCGAAAGCCTGGAAGCAGTAGACAACTGTTTCGTCCTAGTATGAAACTCCTCATCCGTAAGCATCTACGATCCCATACGTGAGACTTGTACCCATGACTGTCGATCTCGCAAGCAAACGCTTAAGCTCTAAACCACTGAGCCGACATCTAACTTCAATCTATCCATGAATTCGCACAGCCATTCATCCATTGTCTTACACCATTGGTCACAACTCACTAGAACTCCAAGAAGTCCATCTTGAAGCTATTCATTGGTGAGCACACGATATTATCCGTATGAAAATTTTTGGAGATTGTAGTAGTTTCACAGTTGAATTCATAAGTCAACACTAAGACAAAACAGCCGTCTAGTGATTTCAGGTTGTGGAAATTCGTACAAAAAAAAACCAAACGATTGTATTCAGATATATATTTAATTCACTAGATCATGTACATGATTTTAAATACCAATACTTTGTACAAGGTTCACTAGGGTTACTTGTCTGGCCAAATGTAGATAGATTAAACTATGATGAAACAAGTGATTTATTATTCAAGTGTTTCAGCTACTAAATGATAAATCACTGTGAACTATATTTTTGCTTCGAAACATCATTATCATAGTATTGTATTTAAAAATTTTAATAAAATTCAAATAAACATTGATAACATTTAATTGAATTTTATAAAAACTCAACAAAGGTCAACTCAAACATTTTCAATAAAGTCAAAGATTCTATTTATTCAACTGGTTTTTTTTTAAAATAAAAAAAAGATATTAGTCCATGTAATGCTTTATTTATTTTAACTCAACTAGCCTCGTCTTGAGGGGTTAGTGTCGTGGACATATCAATAACCCCGCTCATCCACCCCACCCCCCTCTCACAGACAAACACCCCTACGTATTCAGTAAGGATGAGTGAGAGAGAGATACAGAAATTTGTATTACTCAAAAATGTTCATCTTATTCAAAGAAAACAATGAAACATTTCAGTCATTTCTATTCCATATGTCTTGGTTATTCTCATTTCGACAAAGTGAATTATAAAAATAATCAAAATGGTTAGAGTAGATTTTTTTTCTTTTTTCTTTTTTTCTCTTTTTTTTTCCAGTTTTATTTATTTATTGAATTATTGATTGATTGGTTGATTTATAAAGAGATTATTATTATTATTATTATTATTATTATTATTAGCAGTAATAGTACTAGTATTTTGTGACCATATATGCAAATGAAACGATTGGCATTATTTTGTTTATATACCTATATATATATATGTATACAGCGAGAATTGTGGAAGAAAACACAATTAGTGTAACACAAAAATTTCTGAGCAAAGCTACATGTGTGGTCTATTCTGACAATAATAATAATGATAAATTGATAAGAAGGTGGGAGAGTGATTTCATTCTTGTGGCGGAATACCATTTGTACTTTCATAACTTGTATCATACACTCACTATCTTTTTCTTAATATCCATTATTACTTACAATTATTAGAAAAAAAAGTTTATCTGTTTGACATGAATTGTTACACAATTGTTGTTGATTATACAGTAAGATCATATTCATTCATTATGATCCACTGCATTTAACTGTTTCCTATCAATCTGATCAGCAAATTCTAAATTCTCCACAAACCCCTTCTGAAAATAAATTTAAACCATATGCCTACTTTTTATTGATTTATAGAAAGGAATAATAATATAGAGTAATAATGATCAGATCTATTTAATATATAAGTGATATAAAATGATTAGAAAAGAAAAGAAAGATCCTATAGCGCGAATTGCATGTTAAAAGGAAAGATGATCATATTCTTTGACATGAATATAAATGTCATTATGATAATTTTTTTTAAAAAAAGAAATCAGTAATTGTTGAAATCATTTCCAAGATTGATTAAAATTGAAACGACGATATTCTGTGAATAATGCAAATTTATGATATAAATCATCATCAGTATAAGACTTATTCCCGTGTTGGAAATTTATGATAGAATATACTGAATAAGCTTTGGATTCATTTCATGTAATTCAATCTAATCACAAATGTAATAATTTAATTACTTAAATACATAGAACCTTAGTTGTTGATTATACAGTAAGATCATATTCATTCATTATGATCCACTGCATTTAACTGTTTCCTATCAATCTGATCAGCAGAATGATTATCAACATGAAAGATGATATAAACATGATGACTATCTAATAATGACTATCGGGTTGTAAAGATGGTTGAATTTTAATTGAGATCATAAACAAATCCATATCAGACCATCACTGAAAACCTGGAAGTATTAGACGGCCGTTTGTCCTAGTATAGGACTTCTCAGAATTGCACATCCACGATCAACTAGTAATATGTATATAAACCATTTGACAGATAGATAGATAGATAGATAGATGGATAGATGGATAGATAGATAGATAGATGGATGGATAGATAGATAGATAGATAGATAGATAGATAGATAGATAGATAGATAGATAGATAGATGGATAGATAGATAGATAGATAGATAGATAGATGGATAGATAGATAGATAGGATATATTGTATACTTACTGGCATTAAACACTTTCAATTTTTGTTGTTAACAGATTCATGTAAAAGGAAATATTATTAATTGAATACAACTATACACAAACATACACACATATTAATGATGAACTAACATTGATAAACATTTTGACATTTATCAACAATTGTCTCTAGGTATTTTGTGTTTCTATTGTTTCTAATTGAATATGAATGACAAATATTATTCATGTTATATTATATTGTTTCGCCCTCACATTCATTACAACAAAAAAAGGGAGTGTGTAATCGTGTTTATTTAGGTGTCTGTGTGCAACTATACCCTTGTCCTGTCCCATATAATTACTGTTTAAATAGAAAGAAAAAAACAACTTGTTCTATAGATGTAGCAGATAATTAAAATGAGATTTTAATGATTTAAGGGGTTGTTTAGATGGATAATGTTTACAATATAATCATCAATGGTACATTCAATTAATGTTAGTTTACTATATGAACTACATTGAAAAGATGTATATTTACTCAAACTAAATACTGAATTATTATCATTAATCTCTTTGGGTTCGAGCCCCGGGTAGTGCGGGGTCGTGGATGCGCACTGCTGAGGAGTCCCATACTAGGACGAAACGGCCGTCCAGTGCTTCCAGGTTTTCAATGGTGGTCTAGCTTCAACTGACTCATGATTTCAATCTGTGAAAACAAATAAAGCAAAGTGTTGAGTCGACAAGATTATATTATCAAATGGATATATTCATTTAATAAGAATTACTCCCATTTGTCCCCAGTTAATATTAAGTTTTGTACTGGTTACGTTTTATTATTCTACTATTAACTCATTCACTAAGTACATATTTGTATACTTGACTTTGAATCATAATCTAATAATTGTAAAGACTAGTGCTACTAATCGGTTCAGCAAACTACGGTAGATGAAGTAGGTTTCGAACCCGTGGCTAAGTATTTAAATGTTTTAGCAACTGGCCAATAGGGCTATTCACACATTTTGTCATGAAGTATTACTGTTATAAAGTTAACAGTACTTAATAATTCTTGCTAATATTTGTAAATTGATAATTTTAAGAATAAACTGCTCGGATAATTTAAATTCATAGTCGAAAAAGAAGCTATGATAAATAGATAGTTAACTTTCATGAACATCCCTCTATCCTATACATTGTACTCACTTTATTTTCTCAGATGATTAACAATAAAATGCTATTCGTCAATTATCTTCTTTCCTAAAATGACTTAACATTTGTTACCATCGTCACTGTATCATATAAAATAAATATGTGAACAAAAACCTTATGTTATTAGAACCCTACTTCTATGATATTGATAACCCCTCTTCAGAAGAACATATTGAATTTCTAGTATCATATGGTTCAGTAAAATGTTTTACAAACTAACTAACAATAAACATTGGGTAGAATTGGTTACCGCCATTGAAATGATCTTAGTTATTCCTTTCAATTATATCCAACATACATCTGTTGTTTACATAAAACAGATCCATAATTTTTATATGTCCATAATGAGTTCATTAAATACCATCTGATCATTTATAGATCTGATTAATCTCTATTATGATATGATTCATTGATTATTCGATTCATTAATTATACAATAACATATTCAATCAAAGTTATTTAACAAAAAAAAATCGTTCATTTACCAGATCAACATAAACAAATAAAAATTTAACTAATAATCTATTTATCATAAATATTTTAGTATCTAAGATGGACATGTTTATAAAATACTATTAAGAAGTAGACAATAAAAACAGTTTACTAAATTACATATTTAGGCTTTTCTTTTACAAAAGATTAGTTATATATTGGCATTCGTTTAGTAACAATTACAACCTAAAGAGACCATATGATTATGTGTCTGTGTGACTATTTACATGTCAAATGAATAATAAATTAACCTTGCCAAAATAAACTGTGCCTAAATCATGTTGACAAAATGAAACACGTTACTGACGAAACAGACATTTTAATTATGCAATCGAATGACACATTTATGATAAATAGTATCAAATCCACAGGTGTACTTTTAAATTGATATGTGACTTTACCGGTATTATAAAAGTGACACTATTCGGGAGAATTTTTCATCATTGATCACTTAAAACCAGGAAGGATTTGGCAAATGTTTCATTTATGCAAAAGAGCACCTTAACAGTTTTCATCCACAACCTTATCAGGGATAGAATCTATGAAAGGTGTGAAGATCTTAAGTTTGATTTATAACAAAATCATGCATGAAGACTGTTAAGAAGCCTGATATCTGAACGACATAGCTGTCTGTTGTTTCTTAGCCTTCAGTAATTTTCTAATCTAACTGTCAAAATTAAAATAATTTGATCATAGTATATTCTACTTGATTGAGAATTATATCTATTTACTATTTACGAATATCATCTATTGACTTAAAATGATTTCATCAGCCATATTTTCACTCAGAGTTTCATAGATAAGTTAAGTATACGTATTTTTAAACAAAACGTGATATTAGTTACTATACAGAGATCAAGAAATGAATATTTCAATAGCTGATATTCAGAACAAAAATTAAAAAAAGAAAAACTTATTTTATAATCCTAAAACATGATTTGTTAAATAATCAATCTTTTCATTATGTTCTGTATTAATAGAAACTAGTCGAAATATTATTACTCGTATTGATCAATTCATTCAGTTGTTAGATAAATAGACAATATTGATATTCAATGATCGCCAAGCGATAATAAAAGTCATATTTATCTAGGGCATAGTGATGATCGAATTCGATTGATCAAGTTGTGTTAATCATGAATACTAGTGTGAATGACTTGACATTATATGAACTATGAATTGATTTAGCAAGGATCAAGATGATTAACAAGTGGATCTCAGACTAGGTACTCATCAGTGATGAGAGATTTGCAATGAACAGATCCATGATGTTGTGATCAAACGCTTTACAATGAGAATATGATATATTGTTAATTTATTGATGATTAGTACATTTATAATTATATGACTTAATTTACACTCTATACCTTTAATCTAAACAGTTAAGGTTCAAGTGTTCATAAATCTGTGAATTGGTTTATCAATATGAAATAAATTGTCAATAGTCAATAACTGTAGGTGATACATATTTTGCATTTTTGGTTTAGATGAAAATAAAAAGCGTAAGTTGATGATACAACTAATTAAATTTAATAATAATTCATTCAGCACATTCTAACTAATATAGGTTTATGTATTCAGCTTTAAAAAATATTAATTGTGATATTAGTAAATAGAAAAATATATGTACTACTACAAAAGATTTACAAAGACTACTGAATTTCTCAGATTACACCATGGACTGACTTGAGATAGACATCCACTGGAAAAAGAATAACTAAACAACTGTTTTGTCTCACCATGTAATTCCTCCACTATGTTACTCCACAATCCCACTGAGGACCCTTAGCTTTCACTTAACTTTTAGACAGTGGTTTACAAGTGTAGTTTCAATCCATTCATGACAGTAGAAGACCATCTTCAATTGTTTTTAATAGGTAACTATCTCGGATGTGACATGGTGGGATCTCATCTGTTTTTGTATCTCACTAGAATCCCATAAATTAACCTTCAGAACTCTTATTAGGTTGATAGAATGTTTATTATTACTGTCATCAAGACTGCCATTACCAATAATAACAGTCGTAGAAGGAGAAAGGTTGTTACTATTCGAATTAGTATCAGTACCATTCTTACTGTAAAATAATGATAAAACGACCAATACTTATTCAATATTTAAAAAAGAATCATTGTTATTTTAACTAAATTCTGCTTATTTCGAGAAAGAAATTTTCCTGATGTATGGACGTGCAATTAAGGAAAACTGAGAAATATCGGCGGGGGTCCATCACAAACATTTTAGTTTGAAATTTCTCATTAACAGTAAGCAGTCATATTCTTGTTTGAAACAGGTTTCGAGGGGTACATGAAACCATGTAATCATCGGACTGAAACTGTTTTC